AACCTCGACGCCAACATCGTCCCCGCTACGCTCAAGAAGCCCGCCGCTGCTCCCCGCGCCTACCCCCCGCGCGTCGGTGGTGGTGAGAGGCCCGCTGGTGGTCCCCGTGGTGACCGCGAGGGTTACCGCCGCCCCTTCCCTGGTGATCAGGAGAAGAAGCTTGCCGGTGCTGGTGGCGACTTCGCTCCCCGCTTCGTACGTCTCTCTACTCTCCCACATCTTCGTGCCCATTTCCACGCACCTCATAGCCATTTTTTGTCGCTAATCATCAAATTTTGAACTTTTTTCTCTCACCTTGCAGGCCGGTCGTGAGGGTGAGGGCCGTGGCTTTGGCGGCCGTGGTGGCAGGGACAGCTACAGGAGGGATGGTGCCCCCAGCGCTGGTGGTTTCGGAGACCGTGCTCCCCGTCCTTCGTTCGGTCGTGGCGGTGGTGCCCCCAGGGAGTAAATAACAACTACACAAATAAACACCAACCAATTGGAGCTCCATTCAGCATGTTGTCCATTTCACAGCATCATCCCATTCAAATTGATCTTTCAAGACAAGCCGTCTTCATCACCTTGAATCACCTGGTCCTGGTTCCCCGCCAACACCGTGGCCGCCAGGATTGGGCGGGTTGAGGATCAGCCTGGCCATGAAGAAGGCGGACGAAAAGGCAGACCCTTGTTGCACAAGTTTATGTAAGGTGGCAATCCCCCAAGCTCTTGGGGGTAACGACAGCGGTCAGTCTTCCGTCTCGTCCTCATCCTCGGCCATGTACTCCTCTTCCGCGTCCTCGTCTTCTTCGGCCTCGGCATCGTGATCAGCGTCATCATCGTCCTCCTCCTCCTCCTCCTCCTCAGATGACGACGAAGAGGAGTCCTCCTCGCTCTTCGCCTTGGTCGACCGGGTGGTAGCCCTGCGAGACTGCGGCGCCTTCCGATCGGTGGCGGCCTTGACGGCTCCCGGCCTGCGCCTCCCCGTTCGTCGGCTCTGCAGGCTTATCTCCCGCGGCATCCTATCGTCGTCTTCCTCCTCGCTTTCACTTTCTTCACTATCGCTCTCTTCGCTTTCGCTCTTTGTCTCCTCCGCCTTCTTTCTCTTCTTTCTTTCCCGCCGTTCCTTCCTTCGCTCTCTCCTTCTCTTTCTCTTTCTCCTTCTCTCTTTCCTCCTTCTCCTTCTTCTCCCTCCGCCTTTCCCTCTCCCTCTCTGCTCGCTTGCGTCGCCGCTCCTTCTCGCGCTGCAGCTCCTCCTCGCGCTCGCGCTTGAGCCGCTCGCGGTTGCGCTCCTTCCGTCGCTCGCGCATCTCCTCCAGGAACGACGCCTTCTCGACCCGGCTGCTGCTCGCGCCGCCGCCAGTCCGCTTCCGCAGCCCGAGCGCCTCGCGCTGCAGCACCCGCAGCAGCTCCTCCGGCGGCCCGTCATCCACGACGCGCCTCCTGCCGGCGCCTCCCGCCGGGCTCGACGCCGAGGCCGCCGCACGACCGCGCCGTCGCCGCGTAGGCTGGGGCGGGTCGCTCTTCTCCTCCTCGTCCTCCGATTCGACAGCTTTCACCTTCTTCGTCTCCTTCGTCTCCTCGTCCTCCTTCTCCTCCTCTTTCTTCTCCCTCTTCGCGGTCTTCGTCTTGGCCTTCTTCTTCTCGGGCTTGCTCTGTTTCTTCTCTTCAGACTCCGAGGTCGCCTTCCGCTTCTTCTTCTTCTTCTCCTCCTTCTGCTCCTCCTTGACCTCGCTCTGGACCACGGCGTCTTCCTCTTCTGCCTGGGCGTCGCCGGTGGTCGAGGCGCTGGTGGCGGGCTTCGCCTCCTTTGCCTCGTCCGGCTTGACGCTCGTGGCGGTGGTCTCCTCCTCCTCGCCCTTCTCCTCCTCGAGTCGTTGCGTGCTGACCGACGTCTCCACCTTGGGCTCCTCCTTCTCGACCGCCGCCGCCTCCTCCGACATCAGCGCGCTCGTCTCTTTCGCGTTTTCGTTTTCGTCTTCGTTTTTGGCCTTCTCCTTCTCTTCCTCCTCTTCGCGCTGCTGTTCCGTGGCCTGCGTCGTGCGCTCCTCCTTCGCCTCCTCCGTCGCCGGCGTTGGCGTTTCGTTCTCCCGCTTCTCCGTCGTCGACGTCGGCTCGCCCTCGATGAGCTTCTGCTTCGATGCGCCGCCGTCGTCCCCCTTCGTCTCCTCCTCCTTCTCCTTCACTTGCTCATCGCCGGGTTTGCTCTTCGTCTCCTCCAGCTCTGGCTCCGGCTCGCTCCCTCTGCTCGCCTCTGGCGCCGTCTCGGCTTCTTTCGCTTCGCCGCCCATCTCCTCCTTCACCTCCACCTCCATCGCCTCCGACTCGATGCCGCAGCTGCTGCTGCTCTGCCCCACAGCAGCCTCGGTCTGATGATGAAGGTGGCCGGTCAGCTCCTCGGAGGTCAGCATGACGGCGTCGTCTGTCGGCACCTTGCCCTCCTCCTCCCCGCGCCTTTGAGTTGGCTGCGGCTGCGGCTGGGCCTCGGCCTCGGTCTTCTCTTCCGGCCGAGTGGTCTGGGGCAGCGGCTGCTTCTTGGGAGGCTTGGTCGCTACGACGACGGTCGTCGCCGCGGCCGGGCTCGCCTTCTTCGCCGCGGGCGCCGAACACAACTCCTCCTTCTTTAAGGTGGTGGCGGTGGCAGCGGCGGCGTCCACGGCCTTGGACTTGAACAGCGGCTGCTCCTTCGATCGCCGTCGCTCGACACCCGGGAGCTCCTTCGAACCGACCACGGGAGGCGCCTCGCGCTTCATCTTCTTGGGCGGCGCTTGGTGATGACTGGCGGCGGCCACCACGACCGCCTCGGCAGCGGCGGCCGACGCCTTCTTGTCGAGGGCGCGCTTGTTGGCAGCGGCGGCCCGGGCGGCGGCGGCCTCCTCGCTCCTCCGGCGGCGCTCCTCCTCCTCCTCGCGCATCTTCTCCTCCTTGCGCTTCTTGCCGCGCTTCTTCTTCTCCTTGGTCTCGGCCGGCTTCAGCGAGTCCAGGTACACTCGCCTCACCGAGCCCTCGCGCGGCAGCTGCCACATGTGGTAGCGCCCCTGCCCATTTACATGACATGACACGACACGACACATGACACGACACGCACGGCGTGAGTCACACGGCAGACGTCGGCATTGCGATGAAAGGAAGAGCGTACGTTGACGACAGGGAGCTTGATCATGCCCAGCTCGCCATAGATGTCGGCGTACTCGGCGGGATGTCGCCAGGCGGTGCCGACCTCGATCTTGGTCCGGTTGGAGTTGCGGATGACGTTGAGGAGGAACGCGACGGCGGTGTTCTTGTCCTTCATGGCGTCGTACTTGTTGATGATGACCTCCATCCGCGTCTTGATCTCCTCCTCGTTCTCGGGCTCCTGGTCCTCGTCGTCCTCGTCGTCGACCACCACTGCCCGTCGCTGGGGCTTCTTCTTCGGGTGCTGCTGATGAAGCTGCTGCCGCGTCGCGGCCGTCGCGCTCGTGGGACCCTCGATGTGATCGCCGTCGCGCTCGTCATTCTCGTCGTCGTCGTCGTCGTTTTCGTCTTCGTAGTCGTCGTATTCGCTTTCTCTCTTTGGTCGCTTTCCCTTCGGCCGCGCCCGCAGACCCACAGCGCCGCTGGGTCCGGCGCCGTAGTCCTCCGACCGCTTCCGCTTGACCAGAGCGGCGGCACCCCGCGGCCTACGCAGGAGCTCCTCGTCCTCCATTCTCTCCCTGCGCTCGCGCTCGCGCTCACGGGCCTGGGCCAGGCCGGCCTCGATCTTGTCGTTCTTCAGCTCCTCCTCCATGCGCCGCCGCTGCTGCTCACGCCTCAGCGCCACCGCCGACGCCGACGCCGGCCCGTCCAGCTGACCGTTGGTCGTCGCCGGCGCCGGCGAAGGCAGCTGCGCGTTGGTGCTGTCCCTGGACCGGTCGTCCTTGGTCGGCATCCCGAAACTCTTCAGGATGCGGTACTTGAGGGGCATCGCTCCCCACTTGCCCGTCGGCGTGGACTTGTCCTCGGCGTTGGCGGCCGCCAACGCGGTCGTCGAGGCGGCTGTCGGCTGCTGCGCCGGTGCCGCTGGTGCTGGTGGCGACGCCGGTGTAGGCTGCCGCTCAGCGGTGCTGCTGACCGCTACATTAACATTTGGCTGCGGCTGCTCTTGAGCTGCCGGCGTCGTTGTCGGGACCGTCTGGGTGCCTGGCGTGGTTGCTGTGATTATTGTCGACGTGACAGCAGCAACTGTTGAACGGTCGGTGGGTCTCGGGGTCCGGTCGGTCTCGGCCTCCGCGCTCGGTGTGTGGTGCGCAGCCTGCGCCGCGATGAACGGCGAAGGCGACGGAAGCGACGGCGACGACACCGCGGGCGAGAGGGGCACGCCCGGCATCAGCGACGGGCTGGCGGTCGACGGCGGTGGCGACAGCGGCGGGTAGGTGAAGCTGCCGGAGGAGGAGCGGGGCGAGAGCTGCACTCCCTGGAGAGAGGGCGAGAAGGGCGGCGAGAGTGGGATGGTGCCCAGGCCGAGCCCGAGGCCCGCCGGTGACAGGTAGGGTGACTGCCCCGCCGAGGGCACGGGGGTGGTCGGGTGCACCGGGTCGGGCTTGTCCGCAAAATTGACGTCGATGAACCGACCTGTGATGGGGAGGGGGAGAACGAAAGCGAAAGCGTCAGTGTGTCGTGATTTTAGTTCCGAGAAATGAAATTGGGCGGGTGAAAGCGGGGAGGAGTGAAACCTTTGCCGAAGAGCCGCACGCCGTCCATCTGTCTGACGGCGCTGTCGGCTTCCTCGGGCGCCGAGTAGCAGATGAAGGCGCAGCCCTTGAACTTCTTGGTGTTGGCGTCGAACAGGCGGTGGACGCGCTGGATCTCGCCGAACACCCCAAAGATCTCCTTGAGCGTGGCATCCGTCATCCCGTCGTCGAGCTTGGCGATGAAGATGGTCTTGCACCCCGGGTACTTGGGGCGCTTCTCCTCCTTGACTACGTTCGGACATAAAAGGTGGTGTGAGCGCGTGCAATGCTGGGGGATTTAACTCCGAGCGGAGCGGAGAAAGTACCTTCTCGTTCGCCGGTGAGGGCGGGCATCGGGGTCTTTTTCTTGGACTTGGCGTAGCTGATCTTCATGCGCCGGCCGAGCATGCGCCGGCCCTTGAGCTTGTCCAGCGCTCGCGCGGCCAACTCGGCCGACTCGTACTCCACGAACGCCTCCCTGAATCGCATGGCGACAATGTGATCCGCATTAGCGATGGTGCTGTGGTGTGTGTGTGTGTGTGTGTGTGACGTGTTTGTCTGTGTGTTGCGCAATGCGCATATGGTGACGCCGTACCCGGTGAAGTGTCCCTGCATTTTGTCGGTGATCCATCGAATGGCCTTGAGGCCCTCCTTGCACTCGTGCGACTCGAGCTTGATCTTGAGGTCCTCGTCCGTGATCTGGTAGGCCAGATTCTTGATGTACAGCGTCGTCAACAGGTACTCCTATGCATTGCACACAACACAACACACGTCAGAACAGCTCTAAACGTGGTGCACAATGGAACAGGGCAGGAAATGGTGGTACCTCGCCTTCCTTGAGGCCCTCGGCTTCGCTGTCGGAGGTCCACGGGGCACCCACCTGCGAAGACTGGGGGACGGACCCGTGGTGGTGGAGCGGCGGAGACTGTACGCCGCCGGGGAGAGGAGGCGAGGTCGGCATCGGCGAGTACGGAGCGAGAGTGTGTGAGGAAGACGAGAGACCAGACAACGACGAGTATCGATCGGCGTTGGAATCGATTGACGATGGTGATGAGTGATACGTTGAAGATGATGATGACGATGGGGCGGCGCTGCTCTCGCTCTCGACGATGGGAGAGGAGAGGAAAGAATGTCTCTTCTCTCTCTCCTTCTCATAGGCGGGCGGCGACGCGGGCGGAGGTGGCGATGACGTTGACATCGACGTGCGAAGGAGGGCATCGTCGCCCTCGCGCCTCGCGCTCGCCATAAAGATGGGCGTCGACGTCTGGCCCACCACCGTCGGCGAACCGGACCGGTGGAGCGACACCGAACCCGGCGCAGCTGGCGGCTCGGCCTCGCGGTAGTGTTCGGCGGCGGGGCGATCGCGGCTGCTGCGCGCCGCTGCCCCACCGGCGTAGCGCTCCCACTCCATGTCGCGCCCTCGGCCCGGGTCACTGCTGTGCGGCGGTTGCGCTGCGAAGCGGTCGCCCCGGAGGTAGGGATCGGCATCGCCGGAGGTGGTCAGGAGCTGCGGCGACGGGAAGCTCTCGAGGCCGGGCGAGCGGCCGTAGATCGGAGCCTGCGGCGGATTGCGGATTGGCGGCAGCTGCACGTTGGACGACAAGCTCCCGACCGGCAAGGCCATCATCGACGCCAGAGGCGGGAGGCCTGCAGACGATGTCGGCCACGCTACGTCTTTTTGTGTCGCCACACACACACAACACAAGATGCAGGTTAGACTACTGTGCTGTATAGATAAAATGGCGAGAGAAGGGACGAGGAGGGTACCGAGTCGCTGGTGGTACTTCTGGGAGCGGAGGAAGACGTTGCCGCCGTGCTGCACGGCCAGGGCCGCGGCGTTGTGGCTGAAGTACTCCACGAAGGCAAAGTTCCGCGAACCAAAGGACCACTTCCTACACACGAGGAGAGCAGCGCAAGCGCAAGCGGAGGTGAGTGGAAGCGTTGCAGCGAGGGAAGGGGTGGAGGCACAACGGGAAAAGCGAAAGAGAAGGAGCGCCGGGGGGGGGGAAGAACGAAAGCGAAGGGAGATCGAAGCGGAGATGAGACAAGAAGACACAAGAAGAAGGAACCGAAGAAGACGGAAAAGAAAAGGAGGAGGAAGGAAGGGGGGATCGGAAGGGGGCGTGTCGTACTTGATGGGGCCGTATTGAGCGAAGATGGACTCGAGCTCGTTGCGATCCACGTTATCAGGAAGGCGCCCTACGTAGACGCGCGTCTCTCCGTCCCACGACGGAAGCCCCGCGCCTCCGCCCAGCAGCATGATCGAAGTGGAGAGGCGCACTCCGATTGGAGAGTCTAGCGCCTCTTGTTGTGTAGAGACGATGCCCCTTCTGCGAATGGAAAGAAGGAGGTCAGTCAAGTGAGAAGGGGAGTTCTTCGGAGATCGAAGGTTTGATCATTGATTGGGGTGGGGGTGGGGGGGGGGGAAGAACGAAAGCGAAGGAGGAAGGCGAAAGCGAAGGGACGGGACGGGAAAGTTCCGAACGTGTCAAAGAAGGAGGGGATGAAAAGGGGCTTCAACGTACCGATGAGGGGGCGCACTTGTAAGGCGCAGCTAAAAGGAACGATTAAAAAAAGGGAAGGAGGAGAGAAGATGACGAAGGAAAGGAAAGGAGAGGAAAGGAGAGGCGTCGTTCTTCTTCCCCTCTCTAAAAAAAAACGAATCAATCGGCTTCCTCCTTCCTCCTCGAGCCTGCGCCGAAACAACAAACGTAAACCTCCTTTTCCTGGCACCACACCACCGCCCTTCTTCGTGGCACGTTCTTCGTGACAGGCCCAAACGGAAAAAGCCCAACACGCCAAAGCTCATTACACAGCAATTCAGGGAATGTTGCAATCAGCCACGAAATTTCGCCAGACAGGTGTCCAACTTTCGCGCCAAATTGTTGGGAGCGAGAAGAAGGTGATGAAGCAGAGCCCTGACGAAGGGCGCGACCCTTTAGATCTCGCCACGTCGCTCACAGAGGTCGTTGTTACGGAAGGAGGAGTAAGGGCACCAAGCATTGACGATGATGATCAATCGTCCCGCCACAGCACTTCGGGGGCGTCCGTGCGGTATCTGCACCACGAAGGAATTGTGGAAACAATCAGATCGGAGTGAGTTGTAGTGCGGAAACGAGAAATGAGAAGGTAACGTCGGCGTGCGTACCTTTGCGTGCACCAGGTGTCCTCCATGGGGGTGGTGATGCCCGACTTGAACATCAGCATACCGGTCCAGGCGATCATCGCTCCGTTGTCGATGCAGTACCTGGACACGTGCCACAGTGTGGCGAGAGGTCAGTTCACTGACGATGAGACGTGGTTGGTGGGAAATGACTGTTTAGGGGGGGTGCGGACCTGTCATCCATCGCGCACACTCGGCCACCTCGCTGCTCCACCATCTGCTTCATCATCTCTTGGAGACGTTCATTGCCTGGTTTGGTTGGAAACCACACACGTGCGTGAGCTGGTTCCAGTTCCTGGCGCAACGAACGAAAGAGAGAAAGAATATTGGGGGAGGAGCCGGGCGTACATCCAACACCACCCACGATGAGCACCTCCGACTGGCCACAGTGGGCCATTGCCCGCTCCGTGATCTCCACCAGCATAGCGAACACGTTCTCTGTGTTGTGTGTGTCGTGTGTGGTTCCAGGTCATCACCCAGACCGTGAGTTCGTTGTTGTTGTTCGTTCTTTGGGTCAACAATCATGCGCTCGATCGATGAGCTGCGTACCTTGGAGGGAGAAGCACAAGTCCTCGGGCGTGCATTTCCCCTGTGCGAGCTGATGGCGTGCGATGTCCTCGAGCGACGACAAAATGCCGGAGAAGGAGACGTCCATGCCCTTCACCGTGTAGGGAAGCTCCAGGAACTGCTTGCCCCTGGTCACCGCCACCACGTCACAGAAGTGTAAGTCTCACCGTGGACCGAATGTTGATGGAGTGCACGGTCGACTATGCGGGCGGGCGGGCGGGCGGAGATCAGTACTTTTTGGCCAACAATTTGTTCGATGTTGTAGCCGGGAGCGGGGTCGTTGGGCAGCGAGATGACTCGGGCGAAGCGGTCGAGGAGGTTGCCAACGGCGATGTCGATGGTCTCGCCAAAGATGCGGTACCTGTTCACCCCCGCATGCGCGAGCCCACCAAATGCAGTCAGTCCGCACTGCTTAACGGAGAGGGTGTGTGTGTGGTGGTTACCTCTTGAGCGAGTAGGCGATCACTTGGGTGTTGCCGCCGGAGACGTAGAGCACCACCGGGTTCTGCGATTTGGTCACCAGGCGTCCCATCTCGATGTCTGGACGCCAGAACACAGCCGATCGCACGCAAAGGAGAGTGAACACACGCCCTTGCTCGGGGGGGGGACTTGATGGAGATGGAGCATGCATCGATCGTACGGGCAACGCAGTGGTTGACGGCGACGATGGGCTTCTTCCAGAGCTGGGCCAGGGTGCGCACCACCACCGCCACGCTGCGCAGCGGTCCACCCATGCCAGGCCCTGTAGCATCACACAAACACTCTCAAACACTCAACACACCGCATCATGCACACAACCATGACCCCGGTCAATGCATGACCATGCGGCCTTGGGCGGGCACCTTTCGTGTAGGCGAGCGCGTCAATCTCTTGCGGGGTGAGCTTGGCCTGCGTCAGGGCATCTTTCACCTGCGTACGAAGGAGGAGGGCCATGTGTGAGGTTGGAGGGCCCTACCGCATCGTCGACGGGCTATCTTGGGGCGGAGGGGGGTACAAGGCCGAGAATGTGCTGCTGATGGTGCTTGGCGGTGTCCTTGGGGAGGAAGCCCGTGCCGGCCGGCGTCACGTAGGTGTGCCGCACGTTGGCAAGGATGTTCCCCTCCTCATCCACAATGCCCACGCCGATCTTGTTCGCACTTCCCTCGAAGCCCATAATCTTCGCCATCCTGAGATCTTCTCCACCAAGCTCGCCAAAATAAAATAAAATAAAATGTAACAATAAAATAAATAGAGTAGACTTTTTGTCGACGAAGAAGCCAAGAGAGATGGAAGGACGGCAGCGAGAGAGTGCCACAGGCGCCAGGAAGATGGGCCGAGCGTGGAGGGTGCTGGGGGTGGTGCTTTTGCTGCTCACAATCCTGCAAGTCGGCCCACTGAAGGCGGAGTTTGCTGGGGAAGACGAGCGCATGCTGCTCATCGTCGGCGACGTCTCCGACGCCACCGCCCGCGTGCTCTACGAGGTCGGCATTACCCCCCCCCACAAGGACTAATTTATTTATTATCCTAGTTTATTAAATTTTATTTACTTGCAGGGACTGGGCGGCGAGGAGAGTGCACGCCCGCTCACGGCGCAGCTGTTCGAGGAGCCCGCCCACGCGCCCGTCCACAACTTCAGGTGCGAAGTAGTTTCGTTGTGCTGGGCGCTCCTTTGTCCCGCCCGCGTTTCACTGACACACACGCACGTGCTCACACTCCCTCCCCAGTGTGGTGGCCAAGCGAGTGCCTCAGATCCTCAAGCTCGATGGCCTGAAGGAAAACACCAGGTTGGCCCACCTATCAATCGCCGCACTCTGCTGATGTGTGTGAGTGCCTTAGCTCATGGCTGCTCCGTGTGTGTCGTGTGTGTCGTGTGTGTCGTGTATGTCGTGTGTCGTGTGCCGCAGGTATTCGGTGCATTTTGACAACGACGACTGGGTGAGCTTCAGGACCTTTCCCTCCCGCCAATCGCATGTGGTACCAACACCGCCTCTTCGCATTCGCCCGATTCTTTCTGTGGGGAGCTCACCACCGACTGCTGCCATGATCATCGCCAGAAGCGCGAACTGAAGATGGTGGCCCTGTCGTGCGATCGATACTTCGAAGACAAGGACGACGAGATGTGGACGCTCCTCAACCAGAAAGAAGGTACAACAGCGCCCGTGGATGCCTTTACATCTGTGAGACCCTCATGGTAGCGTTGGACGTTAACAACACCAACAACAACGACAACAACGACAACGACAACAACGACAACAACAACACAGGCGAGCTGGACCTTATCGTCCACATGGGCGACCAGATCTACGCCGACGACGTGTTGGCCCGGTGGAGGGAGAAGCTCAGCAACCGGACCGCGACCACCGAGGCCGACCAGGACCAGCAGGACTACGAGCAGCTCGTCGAGGACTACCGCAAAGTGTACCGCATCACCTTCGGCCAGCGTACGTTTGCGACCTCTCGCCCAACCGCACGCACACACGCACGCACGCACGCACTACAGCTGTGGTTAACCTGGGCACGGTTACACACGCGCGCAGCCGAAGCGCAGAAGGCGATGCGCCATGCGGCCAACTGGATGCTCCTCGACGATCACGGTACACGCTGTTTTTTTAAGCGCCCAGCGGATCGCAGCTGATACGATATGTTTTGGTGCCTTCTTCCACTGTTGTTCATTCCCGCGTCCTCCCGCGTGTGGGTGCAGACGTCTTCAACAACCTCGATTTCGACTACCTCAAGCGCGATCCGTCGGTCACCATTGCCTTCAAGGCGGGCATGCAGGCCTACCACGAGTACCAGGGCCAACTCATGGAGGACATGCCGGTGCGACCCCGCCCTCTGCGCCATTCCTCCCCGTGGCTCTGGCTCTGGCTGTGTGTGTGTGTGTGTGTGTGTGTGTGTGTGTTGACGCGTGTGTGGTGGTGCGTGTGCGGTGCGCAGGAGGATACGGGTTCGGTGCACAGAGTGGACTTTGTGCGGGAGGTGATGAACGTGGCGTTTCGTTCACCTCGACCTTCGCCACTACCGCAGCTACTTCTCCGACGCTGTCCACCCCATGACCGGCGACGTACGCACCATATATCTTCGACCCCCCCCCCAAACACACACCGCAGTCGACTGACGCTCGCGCCGCCGGCTCTCTGCTTCGACCATCGTCCAGGCGCAATTTGTCGATTTTGAGAGGCGGATCAAGGAGTACGGCACCAGGGACGACATTTCGCACATCTTCGTGCTGAGCCCCGTCCCGCTCATGTTCCTCACCCCGCTCATGGCCTCCATCGCCTACCTCGCCGAGAAGGTACCTTCCTAAACCTGCGCCAGCCACCACGTCCACCGCGGTGGACTGTCGGCTGACTTGTTAGTGTTGCGCTGCGTCGTCGACAGGAAATCTATCCCACCTACTCGCTGTTCCTCAACGACACGCTGGAGCTCTTCGACATGATGCTGCCCTACCACCAGAAGATCAAGCTCGTGAGCGGCGACATTCACCAGTTCGTGTTGGGCGACATATGCCATTCGAGCGGCGCCTGCATTCCCCAGATGGTGGCCTCGGCATCACCAAAGGTACGACGGCCCCGCTGGCGAGCTCTCTCTCGCCCCACTCTCCGCGCCGACTCTGGCCGACGTGTGCATCATCTACGCGTCCCAGGTTCGGCGGTGATCGACTCGCTCAAGCTGTGGTTCTTCTACATGGCCTTCCGGCACATCGCCCCCAAGGGCGTGGGCGACTGGACCATCAAGACCGAGCAGCAGGTCCTGATGCGCAACTACGGTAGCTCCTCCGCCCCCTTTGGCTTCATTCTTTTTGGCCCTTCATTCTTATCGACCATTTCCCAGGTGTGGTGCAGGTGGACGGGGCGAGCTACTGGTGGCAGGGCGTCTTCCCCGCGGACATCCCGCAGCGCCACCAGGTGCAGACATTCATCTTCGACCACCTGCACATCTTCATTCAGATCGTCGGCGCCCTCTTCTTGGCGCAGCTGTTTGCCTTCATTCTCGCGCGCGCCTTCAAGAAGGCCCTGCCGCCGACACCCACACCGGCACCGAAGCAAACCAAAGCCGCACGGAGGAAGTGATTGCCCCCCAATGGCCTGTTGCTTTGGAAAATTATCCCTGCCCCTATCAGCTGTCGTTGTCTGTTCTTTTTTCACCACTACACCCACACAACCCACATACCACACAAAAAAGTAATGTCCTTAGCCTGCGTCCTGCTGGCTGTATTTCTTCTTGTGGCGCTTGTGCTCTCGTGGCTCTACGGCATCCGGCTTTACGATGCCATGTCACGGAGGGGCCATCCGCGCGACCACCACCCCCTCTTCCACACGGGTCGCACTGACCGGGTCGTGGCGCTCACCATCGACGACGCGCCCTGGCGGTATCAGTTGCCTCTCGGCGTCGAGCTCTCCACCTCGATCGAGGAGATCGGCGAAGTGCTGCGCAACCACGGCTGCTCGGCCACGCTCATGGTGATCGGCTCGTACCTGCGCGCCGCTCCGCCGCGCGCTCTCGCGGCTATGCGCCAACTGCACGCCGACGGCATTGTCGAGTTTGCCAACCATGGCTACACCAACAGCAGGGCCGCCTCGCTCACGGCTCACCAGTTGGCCCTCGAGATCAACAAGACCGAGGCCGCCGTGCGCGACTGGCTCGGACCCGAAGCGCGCATGGCTCCGTTCTATCGGCCTGGCTGCGGCCGTTTCCACGCCGACATGCTGCTCGTGGCCGCTGACCGCGGCTACCGCACTGTGCTGGGCGACGCTTATCCGTTCGACCCGCAGCTGCCAGTGCCCTTTCTCCTCTTCTGGCACCTCATGATCACGGTGCGACCCGGCAGCATCATCATCCTCCACGACCGGCCCTGGACGCCGGCCCTCCTGCGGATGCTGCTCCCATGGCTCCAGGACCAAGGCTACCGCGTAGTGATGCTCTCGCGCGCCCTGTGCCCCCAATAAAAACACACTCTCCGCTAGAAAGGAAACCGGGTCCACGTCACGGCACACATGCCACAAACACGACACGACACTCACAACACACGGCACACATGAGAGTCGGTCGCACCACTTCTTGGCACCACAAAACTTGCGCGATGCAGAACATCGCCAAAGTGACGCCTGGGGAGGCACTCAAATCATGGCAAGCTTCCAGAGCGGGGAGCTGCCGGGGCGGAAGGTGCCCTCGAACACCCACTCATGCGACCGCGGGAACACGTCCTTGGAGATGACCTGCGTGTCGTTGGTCGTGTCGTTGGTCGTGTCGTGGTGATGAATGAAGCTGAAGAGCGGGGGTTGGGGAAAGACAGGGAGCATACCTGGGCCGGCTTGCCTTCGACTTCGACTTGCGTGGTGAGCTGCTCCACGCAGTCAAACTTGACCTCGATGTGAACGGTCTCCGGCTGCTGCTTGAGCTCCTCCTCATCCTCCGGCAGCTCCTCCTGCTCCGCGTCAGCGAGGATGTGCACATTGACGATCTCCGCCGACTCCAGCTTCTCCAGCCTCGCAGCGATTCGAAGCGGGCTCTGTACGCACCCACCACCCACCACCCACCGCCCACCGCCCACCACAACCGCACATGAGCCGCGTGGCTTGATGTGCAAAGGAATGAAAGGAATGCAAACCTGCTGGTAGGCCTCGCTGCTGTCCAGCATGGCTCGGTACAGGGCCGGATCCAGCACCTCGCGGAATCGCTCTGGCCGGTCTGGCGGGAACTTCTCCATCATCCCGGCGAAGGCGCCCTTGGCTCCCTCCAGGAACTCGTCCCTCTACACGGCCATGACCCACCTTGTGGCGTGAGGCTCCTCAAGGAGCTTATACTACGCAGGGAGTGCACGAGTGATGCGGGGGAAACGTACGTTGAAGCTCGGGTCCTTCTTCTCGAGCCAGTTCAGCATGAAGTTGACCTTGAGCGGCGTGAACAAGGGCCAGCGCCACCTTCGCTGCGGCAGCACGGCCACTCGCACCCCGGTGGGCACACCCGCAGCTGCGCAATAAATAAATAAAGATTATTGATAATGAAGATGATTAATAATATATTGTTTTCAGACGAAGAGTGCGCGGTACCAGCCGTGAAAAGATTGATAGGTTCCGGCTGCTGGGAAGGCTGCTCGGGGGGAGGCTGCTGGGTGCCTGGCTCTGTGGGAGGAGTGTAGGAAGCAGGGCGGGATTGATCTTTTGCTTCCTCGGCGGTGGATGATGATGGAGCCTCGCTGTTGTTGTCATTTTGTGGTTTGTTGTCTTGTGGCGGCGTCGAAGAGGGAGGAGGAGCAGTGCTGGAGTACGATCGGCGAGCGGCAGTGCCAACCAAACAAGGTCGGGAATTATGCAGGCACGAAGAGGTGATGAGACATCTGGCAGGGGCCATGGGCAGCGGCCTCGTCATACCACCCAACGTTGAGGGGAGCGGCAGCGCGAGCCGTCGCAGAGCTGCCGAGCTGCTGCATGACCGGCGCATCATCGCCTGAGATTGAAATGATAGAAAATATAAGTGAAAATAATTTCTTTGTTTCCTTTTTCATTTTGTGCCCCAGGCCACCAGCCGCGCTCGCTCGCGTTATGGAGACCGGAGGCGAGCACGCGAGCCTCCCACCCGTGCCGCCCAGAGACGATTCAAATCTCAACGTTGAGGAAACGCTCGCCGCCAGCAGCAGCGCCATGGACCACTACGAAGGCAACCCTGCCAGTGCTGCCCATGACTCCTACGAAAATCAAAGGTGCGCACATGCTCTCAGTCCCTTTGCAGGTCAATGGAATGCATTCGTTCGATCAATTCGGCAGTCGTATGAAGAGTGCCAACCTCACCCCGTGGCCATTTGCGAATTCATTCGCAATTTGATTTTTTGAGATTTTACACGCTACGCGAATTGGCGATGATGGTGACATCGTCTGTCTCCGCGCCACACCAGGTACTTCGAGGAGTACGGCAAGTTCGGGATCCATGTGGACATGCTGCGCGACCAGTCGCGCATGACCAGCTACCACCGGGCCATCATGGGCAACCCGCAGGACTTCAAGGACAAGGTCGTACTCGACGTCGGGTGCGGCACCAGCGTCCTCTCGTGCTGGTGTGCCCGCGCCGGCGCTCGCAAAGGTCTGTACTTGCTCGGCTTCTTCGCGTGTGTCGCGTGTGCGTGTGCGTGTGTCGTGCAATGTGGGCTCAAATCGCTGATGGTTGGTGCAGTGTACGCGGTGGAGGCCAGCAGCATGGCGGAGCAGGCCCAGCTGGTGGTGGATCGCAACGGGCTGAGCGACATCGTGCAGATCATCAACGCCAAGATGGAGGACGTCAACCTCCCCGAGCAGGTCGACGTCATCGTGTCGGAGGTGCACGCCATCATCATCACTACTCGTTCGCTTGATCCCCCTTTCGAGCCTCTGATGCAGTCGCAAGTGGTGATCTACAGTGGATGGGATCGTTCCTCATATTTGAGTCAATGCTCGAGACGGTGCTCTACGCGAGGGACCGCTACCTCAAGGAGGTACGAACACACTATCACACCTTCACCAGTGCAACACGCACCACGCACCACCGCACACGCACGCGCGCCCGCACGCACGCGCGCACACGCCCACACACATACCGCCTTACGCCAAACGTGGTACGGTCGTGCAGGACGGCAAGATGTATCCGGCGATCGCGCGCATGTTCGTGGCGCCGCTCGACATGACCCCGTTCTTCCAGAAGCGGATCCGATTCCTCCGCGACGTGCCCGACCTCAACCTGGCCCCGCTCATGTACGCGAAGCAGCTGATTCCTCTCACCACCACTCTCCTTCTTTACCGCTTTCCTCTTCTTTGTGACGCGAAACGCTTCGCTCACAGCCCAAACCACACACACACACCACAGTCCGTTCGCCACGACTGAGTACACGTACTACGGCATGCGAGGAGCCAAGTGCAAACCCAAGCACCTGCTGGCCGACGGCTTCGTGATCAAGGAGCTCGACATCAAGACCGTCACCGCGCAGGAGCTTCAGAGGGTTTCGGCGCCCATCGCGATTAAGCCCAAGCGGAAGGGCACCTTCAACGGATGGGGCGCCTGGTTCGAGGTCGTTTTTCCGGGCCAGACCGCCGACAAGGACGTCGTCCTTTCAACCGCCCCCGAGCAGCCGTACGTCCCTCCTCCTCAGAAAAAACCTGAGAGCTTCTTCTCTCTCTCTCTCTCTCTCTTTGTGTGTGTGTGTGTGTTGTGTGGTGTGTGTGGTGTGCCGACGGGAACTCACTTGGCGTCTCTTGCGTACTGTACATGATGGTGCAGGCTGACCCACTGGCGGCAGGACGTGTTCCTCCTGGAGAGGGATTTTGAAGTGACGGAAGAGGACACCATCACCGGCCTGCTCCGGTTTGTGCAGAACCCGAACTGGAAGAGGCACTACAATCTGGAGATCTCCTTCTCCTTGCGCGAGTTCGATCAGTACAGGATCTGGTCCACCTGAACCGTACGAAGCAAGCACCACGCACGCACAGGAGAAAGAACAACGCCTGGCATCTTTTGTTGCTTTGTCAACAACAACAACAACAACGACAACAGCACGACAACAGCAATCAACAATTCTCTCATCAGGCGTGGCGGCCCAAGTGGAAGGTGTTGAGCAGGTTTCTCTGCGCAGAAGGACAGCTTAGATGAGACAAGCCAAGGTTGAGAGAGGCATGGGGGGGGGGCACCTTCTCATCGTTGTACTTGGAGCGAATCTCTTCGCGTGCGCCGGCCCACGCCCCCGGTCCCTCGAGTCGGTCTGCGATCTCGGTGTGGCCACGCCGTGCGTGAGGGGACCGTCATCACAGTGAACTCGAGCCGGTCCCAACGTACATTGAATTGGGGTGGTCGGGCCGAGCAGGAGAGCACCCACGAGTCCCGGGTGGCCCCAGACGTTCGGCTGCGGAGGCAAGAGGGGTCTTCAGGGCTCAACAAACCAACCAACGGCGCGCGACAAAATGGAGGAGAAGACCACAAAAAGCGGAGGAGGCACGCACGCGCACGCCAATCTCGTCGGCCAGCTCGTCCATGTAGGGCAGGTAGTCGACCTGGATGGTGTGGCGAGGCGACGCGGTGTAGCGGAGAGCCATCGCCTTCTCCCTCGCGCGGATGTCGCGCCACATGGCATCGGCTGCGGGCAGCGGCACCGCGCCGGAGAACACCTTCACCACCCAGCGAGACTGCATCTCCGCGATGGGGAAGATGGCGCCCAGCGGCTGGATGAGCCCGATGAACGCCCTGTGCCACGGCCCGTCGTCCATCAGTCATCATCGGCTCAGAGGCACAGCGACGATGGGCGCGGCGAAAATGTACAGATTGGAGTGGTTGGGCGGGAAGACCAGCTTGTAGAAGCTGACGCGGTTGGTCTCCTCGTCCACGAGCTTCATGTCGTCGTCGAAGAACGGGAACGACACCTTGTAGCCTACGCGCACGCACCCATCGGCCGACCGAGAGTTTAGCGTTCGTGTGTGTGTGGTACTCTCATGAACCGTGTGCGTGTGCGGTGTTGCTTGTGCGCGTGTGCGGTGAGAAGGCTCTCAAGAGTTTGAGGCGCACCCGTCGCATAAATGATGTTATCGCAGCGCACGGAGGTGTTGTCTTCGAATTCGACCACCTGGACCACGACAATGATGAGGGCTGTGATTAACGGGAGGAATGCGAGGAAGCCTGTGTGGTGACCACCACGACGGTACGTACATCGGAGCGAGGCACGAGGCGCTTGATGTTGGGCTTGACGATGACCTTGCCCGTCCCAATGCGCGGCAGAAAGTCGGACGACACCGTCGGATGGGCTACGCAGGTACAACGCGACGAAAGGATTAATACTGGAAGAAAGGTGGGGGAAAGGTGCACAGTACATGAAAGAGGATCGAACTTGGGCTTCAGTCCCCACTTCTCCATATCTCCGTGCGTCAGCTGAAGGTCACCATTGTGCAGTCAGTCGCGATGCTATCTCGAGAGCGTACTCATTTTCACACAACGCCAAGCTGTAATTCGTCACAGTCGCAATTGCGCACCTTGATGAGTAGCTTCGTCATACGGTTGAAGAGGAACGCGGGCATCAGTTGCTGCAGCCTGGGGACCGACAGGTGCGTGCAGTACCATTCCGTGTAAGAAACGAACCACCACTGTGCATGCAGTCGGTTGACCAGCAAACAGGTACCTCGAAACGGTGTGGTCGATTGGCTTGCCGAAGACGTACTTGGGAAGGACCCAGGCCCCCCTGCGGCCGGCGGTCAGTCATGAGACCAACCCCCCACCCCCACAGTTCCACCACTTTTGCGAGAATTTGGGCACCTGCGGGTGACGAGATAGACGGACTTGGCCCAGCGCGAGACCTCGGTGGCCACGTCGACGGCGCTGTTGCCGATGCCCACGAGCACCACAACCTTGTCCTTGAACGGGTACGGATCCTTGTAGGTGTGCGAGTGCTGCTGCGTGGCCGTGAACGTGTCCATATTCTCAAACGAAGGCCAGCGAGGGTTCCTACCACACGCCACACGCCACACGCCACACACACGCCGCGGCCGCCGCCGATTGAATGAGCGCACAGGCTCGTAGCGAATTATGAGAGAGTGAGACCGAACCAGTGATGACCGTTGGCGACCATGACAAAGTCGAACACCTCGGTGCGGGGCTCGTCGTCGTTGGTCTGGTGGGTGATCTCCCACTGGCGGTCCTCGTTCCGCGGGCGTGCGTGGAGCACCTTGGTATTGAACAGGATCGTCTTACGCACCCCAAAGTGGTCGGCGTACGACTCAAAATACCTGCGCGCAAACAGTGAGCGTGTGTGTCGTGTGTCGCGTGTGTGTGTCGCGCGTGTGTGTCGTGTGTCGTGTGCGGCCCATAAAGAAAAGGATACGGCACGGTGGATTCCCGGGTGGTCGCCCACCCCAGTACTAACACCGCCTGGCGCAGCTTAACTTCGCTGTTCGGATGGGAAGCGGTGCTTTCTGCGCAGTATGGCCGTATCCAACGACCTGCTACTGAGGCCCGCCGCCTGATGGGTGGCGGTGATGGGAAGGGGGGCGACGTACTGGCAAAGCTCGTCGCGCTCGGGGAACGGGGCGAGGTGCTTGGGCATGGGGAAGTCGGCGAAGCTCATCATGTCCTTGGACGTGTTGATCGAGGTCGTCCGGTACACGCTGCTGTGGCTCTCGTGTTCCCTAAACACCCAGTTGCCTTTGACCACATCGTCGTCATCATCATCAGCACCTCCTCACTCGCGATCGTGTGTAGGAGTTGAAGTCGTCGAAGAAGGTCGTGTGAGGTGTACCTCCAATGCTGTCGGTCTGCTCGAAGGTGACCACGTCGAAGCCCTCCTCCATGGCGCACTTGGCGGCCGCAATGCCTGACGAGCCCGCCCCGATCACCGCCACCCTCTTCTTCCTCCCTGCACCGGGCCAGATAGGTGTGGAGTCAGGCATTGATGGCTGGGGCTCAGGAAGCAGCGGCGCTCGTAGTACCCTGGGAGTCGGCGGTGACGGCGGGCCGCAGCGGCACTCGAGGCGGAGGACGAAGCGCGTGGCCTGGATATAGTGAGTTTGGGGGGGTGAGCCTATGCTAATCCATGGAAAAAATGAAGGGGGACAACTGTACGGATGCGATGAGCTACGAAGAGCATGGCAGCCAGGAGGCCAGCGACAAGGGTCCACACCAGCGCAGCGTGCAGCATGCTGGTCACCTATGCTGCTTGGGCGATGCTTCGCGGGTTGTTTTCTTTTTGAGCTTGTTTTCTTTTTGAGCTCCGAAATGGAAAAGGCCGATTGGTCCGGCTCGTGCAGCCACGTTCTCTCTTGCTTTGGGTTTCTTTTAGTTTTATTTATCTCAGCTAACTGAGAAAATGGCACGGCGGTGGACGGCGTAGTGCAAGAAGTGAGCGACGACGCTACGTCCGCCTCGGTCATCTTCACGTCGAAAGGACCTCGAGTGATGGGACCACTGTGGGCCAGCGCCGACCTGTGGGGCGTGTTGACGGACTACGTGCAGGTGGCCACCGTGGTCGAGGCCAAGCCCGACGCCACGTCCACGCTCTTCTGCAGCGGCCAGTTCGGAGACACGTCCATCCAGGTGGGAACCCAGCTGTCGTGCGTCGTGAACATCCAGACCAACAGACAACCCATCGCCGGCAGTCTCGATGACTTCAGCATCTTTCTCGGTACTTTTAGTGGAGCTTGTGTGCGTGCGTGTGCGGTGTGTGCGTGTGCGTGTGCGTGTGCGTGTGCGTGTGCGTGTGCGTGTGCGTGTGCGTGTGCGTGTGCGTGTGCGTGTGCGTGTGCGTGTGCGTGTGCGGGAAGCTGATTGGAAACGCGGAACAGGTGCGGGGGCGCACGGGTTGCTGGGCAAGGCCTCGTTGCGCCCAGACGGACGCAGCATCTACTTCACCTACACCGTTCCCTCTTCGAGCGGCTTCGAGCAGCTGCACGTCACCTTCAACGTCTCGTCCGAGATCGTCGGCTCGCCGTTCAACATCACCGTCTGGGAAAGCAAGCCCGACTCAGACGACGGCCATGGCACATCATCATCCCCGTCCTGGCCTCAGCAGTTGGTGCGCTGGTGATCGCGCTCATCGTGGGGTGGTTGGTGGTCCGATGGAGAAGACAATACCGCTACGAGATGATCAACGAATTCCATTGAACGTCACATGTCACCCACCACATCATCATAAGACACAACAGCAGAGAACACACAACAATGAGCCCTAAGTGCAGTTCAGCTCAGAAAAAGATCACAAGAACAGTTTCGAGAAGTCCAAGTACAAATACTACGGTTCACCCACTAGGGCTTGCTTTGGGCGGGTGTTGTCTTCTTCTTGGGCGCCTTCTCCTTCTCCTTCTTCTTCTCCTTGCCCTTGGTCTTGCTGTCGTCCTTCGTCTTCTTCGCCTTCTTGTCCTTGGCTGCGTCGTCGACCTTCTCCTTCTCGGCAGAGTCGGTGCTGGCGCTCGCCTTCTTGCCGCCGAAGAGTCCGCCGAATCGCGACCCGGAGCTGTCCTTGCCCTTGCTGAGCCCCTTGCGCGGCGAGAAGACGCCCAGATCGGGCTCGTCGCCGTCGCCACCGCTCGTCGGTGGCGTGGCGGCAGTCGAGGTCTTGGCCTTTGCAGTCTTCTTCTTGGGCGTCGAGGGCGAAGCGGTGGCCGCCGTCGCTGGCTGCTTCTCCTTCTTCGCGGGCGACGATGCGTCATCGGTAACATCCTTGGGCTTGATCGGCTCCTTCTCTTCCTCTTTTTCCTCCGCCATCTTCTTCTTTTTGTCTTCGTTCTTTTCCGCGACCGTGGTGGTGTCTTTCTCCTTCACCTCCTTCTCTTCTTTCTCGTTCGTCTCTGAGTTGTTGTCGACCGGCTGGCTGGTGGGGGTAGTGGTGGTGGTGGTGGTCGGCGCTGGCGTTTGTTCTTCGGTCGTCTTCGCCGCGGTGACCTCATCGGCGAGGGTGCCCACCTTGGCCTGAACCTCCTCGAGCTGCTGCTTGAGTGCCTCGAATTCCTCGGCCCGCTTGGCCTCCGCCCGCTGCTGCTCGTTGTCGGCCACGATCTTCAGCAGGGTCTCTTCGAGTCGCTTGTATCGCTCCTCCTGCTCGCTGATCACCTGCACACAGACACGGGTGCGAAGCCGCACGATCGTGTTAGTGGAGAGCTAACGTGATGCTCGCGCGTCAGCGGGTGTAGGCGCGCACCTTGGTCATCTGCTCGACCTTCTCGTCGTGTGCCTGCTGCGACTCGCTCCACTTCCTCTCCAGGTCCCGGATGCGCTCACCCAGCTTGGCACGCTCGAGCTTTTCCAGTCCGACCATCGTGTCGATCGCTTTCATCATCTAATAATCGAGAGTGGTGTGTGTCGTGTGTCCAGGTGATAAGTTGCTGGCCGTGATCCAGACAAGAGTGTCGACTGCACCTGCTGAACCTCGCTGCCGCTGGAGCTGACTTCGGACACCTGCATGCTGTACGGCCGCTGCTTGAGCCCGCTCGTCCGGCTGGCGAGGCCAGTCGCGGGCCTCTCCTCGCCGCTGCCATTTTCATCTGCGCTCGCGTCAGCCAGCGGAAAACAGATAAATTAACAAGTAAATAACTAATACATATAAAAAGGCACTCGTACCGGCTCCATTTGATCTGGAGGAGGGAGAGACGGGCTTGATGGGGACGGCGTTCCTCTCGGCGCTGGCCGGCGACATGGCGCCGTACTTGGCTGTGATCGAGTTGAGGGTGACGTTCGTCTCCCGCCGGCCCTTCCAAAAGCGGCCTATCGGACTGATCCCGCCTGTGGTGGGTGGTGGGTGCTGACGTCAGTGTTTGCGTTGTGGAACAACGGGAGTGGGTGAGAACCGACGCACCACTGCCAGAGTCGGGCGATGTCTCTCGTCTCTTCTTCTCGGCCTCGAAGGCCTGCTGGGTGAGGACCTCCACGCGCTGCACCCAATCCTTCTTCTCCGCCTCCGAACCGGGGAAGAAATAGTAGATACGCTAAAGAACGGATGCGATGAGCGGCTTTCTCAAGACAAAGAACGAAAGCGGAGAACGAATAACGAAAAAAACGGAGTTGAGTTACCTTGGCTTCGAGGTGAGTGATCTGGAATCCGACGTTGACGTCCTTGCCCATGCTGGCAAGCTTGGTGCCGGCTTCGCCCTTGGCATTGATGTCGCTGACAAGCGAGCCGTTGAGGGGAATTTCGCCCTTGAACTGATAGCGCGCTCCCTTCTTCTGCGTGTAGATCAGCATGTCGTTGAACAGGAAGCAGTAGCGCACTTGGCCCTTGAGCTTCTTGTTGTACTTCATCAAGTCTCCCTCCTTGTGGAACACTCGGCCGAACGACGTCACCGGTTTCTGTTTCATTAGGCCAAAGGAAGCGTCAGCCCTTCATCTAGCACGCAGAGAGAGAGAGAGAGAAAGAGAGAAGAGAAGATGCTTGTGTGCACGTACGTTGTAGTCGTCCATGGCCCCTTCAATTTCTTCGATCTTCTTCTTGTTCTCCTGTGCGGCCTTGTTGGTGTTGACCCGCCCGGCAATCTATGCGTGCCCATGGGGTGAGCACTCGCACAAGTCACACGACACGCGACACAGGCGCACCTCTTCGAAGGTGGACTGTGTCTGCTGAAGGTCCTCCAAGTCCTGCGATCCCTCGGCGGTCAACTTGGTAAGTTCCCGGAACAGGAGCGGGTACTTGCAGATGCCTGCGAGGGAAGATGAAGCGCAACCGTGATGATCAGCGACGATTGTCGTCGTCGTCATGAAGGTGCTGACAAGGGGGGAAGAATGTGGAGAGCGTACGCTGGATGGGCTTGACGAGGAAATCGCGCAGATAGAGCCCCTGGGTCATCTTCTCCACTTGTGTCTGATTGATTGATCGCAGAGGTCAGACTCCTCTGCTTCGCTGGAGAGTTCAAGAAGTGCAAGAACGAAAGCGAACAGAACGTACGTCGAGCCAGGTCTTTAGGGCGGGCGTCGTGGTGATGCACTTCTGGAGGAGGTCCAGTGCTTGCATGTGGTCCACGCAGTACTGGCCGTACACAGCAACCAGCCTGTCCGCCTGAAGCCAGAAATAAAGAACGAAAGCGTCAGCCAATGGAATGGCGAGGGCCATGGTATAGTGCACGATCTTGTTTGGGGGCAGCAGGGGCGCGTACGTATTGGATGAAGACCTTGCTAATGGAGGTCACCATCTCTTCGAGCGTCGCCACCTTGTCCTCCTTATTCACACTCTCGCTGATCTTGTGGTAAATCTCGCAGTGAATAAAGTACCTGATGTACACCGGGCCATTAGTGACAGCAGACGACATCGTCGTGCGCTGATTGAAACAGTTAAGAACGCGCTCGTACAGGAATTCCATGTTGGAGAAGACGTGGGTAACGTCGGCGGGCTTCATCAGGTGGGCCGAGTTGCGGAGCGGGAACAAGTAGTACTGTACGGGCACAAGATACCACCACAATTTTTTTACTATAGTGAGCATACCCACCCGGAAAACCATTGCTTGGCACTTCAATAAGAAAAAAAAACGATATATATATTAATATGTACATATATTTCGAAAATGTCACGGCACACGAAAATAAATGTGAGGCTGGTACGTACGTCGATGCATAGGCGGAGGTCGTCGATGTAGTTCTCCTCGGTCATCAATATCTCTTCCACCACCAGAGCCCTGTGGTTCAAAAAATAAATAAATGAATAAATAAATAAATAAAAACTTCAGTTCACGCGGACACAAACCGGCGTTTTGAGAAGGTAGGTCACGGTACCTGCGGTCGGTCGGGAGCTCGCCGTTCTGCACGATGACGCTGCCCACGCGCGGCACCCCGGGCGAGAGCTGTCGTGAGCTGCGGTTCTGTTTGCGGGCGAAGGTGGGACTTCCTGTAGGGGCCGCACGAGTCAAGATTTTCATCTTTTGGGACCTCCCAACAATCGATTCTTTTCTTAATCCCTTGTTTTTCCATCTCGTATAGATCAATCGTTGGACGATGGGTCTTGAAAGATGATGATGATGATTGCGGGAGGGGAACCGGTACCCGGAGAGCTGCCGCCTCCGGTGCTCATGGTCCGCTCTTTCATGCGCTGCTGCAGGAGCTCCATCCCGAGTCTTCTGGATTAGCGAAAACGACAATAAATAAAGCTCAACCTGGGGAGCGAAGCTCTCGCTGGTGAGCTTTGTGTTCGCCGTGGTGTTCGTCCGAGTTTGTCCGTTTGGCCTGTGTAAATTAATTTATCATTGAATTCCGCTGCTTGGCCATTGGGCCAAATTCAAACGGTGAGAAAAACCAAACCCACACCAAAGAGTCAACCACAACACTAGCATGAGTTCATGTTCTCTGCCAGACACATAAACTAGTGGAGAGAGAGAGTCACTTGTGCTGATCACTTCGGGCATTCATCATCATGATTTTTCTTTTATGTTGTATTTCCTCTATAATTTCATTCATTTTCTTTGGGTTTGAAATTTGGTTGGCTGGCGAGACGATGCGAAACCGAAAATGACTTTTTGCTGAAGACCGACCCTGGCCAAGCCGACCCAAGGCAACAGGCAGTCAGGCATCTTCAGACAATCTCAACAACTCATCTTCACAAGCACGCACGAAAAAGTTGAGCTTTGCGGTGCCACAGCAAATCTAAAATGGCTGCGGGCTGTTTGAAAGATCTCACCTTTGCCCTCGAGTTGGGGCTCGCCGTTCCCTTCAAGAAGAAGCAAGAGATTAACCGCCTAATCGCCGACAATGGCGGTCGAGTGTCCTACATGATCAACAGAAAGGTACCTCCTCCTCCTCTTCCTCTTCCTCTTCCCTTTCTGTCCCGTGAGCTATAGTGTGGTTGGCCCAGACCACTCACGACCGTGTGTCGCACACGCGCACACGCACACAGACGTCGTACCTGGTGGCGAGCGACGACATACTGGAGAAGAGCTACTCGTCGAAGCTGCAGGCGGCCACGCGCCACGGCATCCCGGTGGTCACGCTCGACTTCCTCAACGACTGCGCCGAGGCCGGCGGCCTGGTCTCGGCCAAGCCCTACCTCCTCCAGGCCGGCGGCAGTGCCTCCAGCAGCAGCAGTACTCCTCCCCTTCTCTCCTTGTGTGCGGTGGTGCGTGTACTTGTGCGATGGAGCGTGTGCAGTGCTGCGTGTGCGTGTGCGATGGAGCGTGTGCGGTAGTGCTGATGTGACGTGCGTGTGTAGCGGGAGGTGCAGGAGGGAAGACTGCAGGGCTGAGCACGGTGAAGGTGATGGCGCGCAAGAAGGTCGTGGCTCGCCCGCCGCCTACCGTGCGCGTGTGGCCCTACAAGACCACAGATCGCGACGCTCCGCAGTGGCCCGAGGACAACTACGAAGTCGCCAAGACTAACGTCTTCCAGGTGCGCCGTTGCCTCCGCGTCATCTCTATTGAAGCGTGCCTACTCATCTGATATCATCTTCATCGTCGTCATACATTTTCTCATACACAGCAAGGAAACTATTACTACAACCTGGAGCTGCACGTCGCCGAGCCGCCTCGCAAGAGGCGCATGTACAGAATCTTCACCCATGCCGGCGTCGTCAGTGATCTCGACGCCGATGCCGAGGCGGGCACCAAGGAAGTCCGCTATCTCGGCAATCTGCAGGTACTGAGGCTTGCACCCTGTGGCGGAGCTACGCTAAACCGTCGCCCATACACGCACACGCACACGCACACGCACACGCACACGCACACGCACCACCGCACACGCACACGCACACGCACCACCGCACACGCACACGCACGTATGGATTGCGAAACGACGCAGGATGCCGAGGGCACGTATTCGCAGCTGTACACTACGATGAGCGGGCAGGGCTACAAGCGGGTCAACCTGCTCGCTTCGAGCAGGATTGGGTCGGACAAGGCCAAGGCGCAGGGCAACCGGCTCATGCAGGGGCCTTCCGCCCTCTCCGAGCCCGTGCAGAAGCTGGTCGAGTACCTGTACTCGGAAGCCACCCACAAAATCACCTCTGCCCTGCAAAGGTGAGAAAGCCCCTCCTATCCGTCACCTCTGCAACACCTCGCTCACG